CTCTCTCTCTCTCTCTCTCTCTCCTCTCTCACTTTCATCCGCGACGATCTCCTCGAACCTCTTGCACGTGGAACAGGAAACACTTGTGAATCCTAGCTCATTGCACTGGTGCTGCTCCAGCTCGCCATCAGATCGTGGCACTTCGGCAAAGGAAAGTACTAGGGACACGAGCAGCGTTGTCAACCTGCAATTAGTCTTCATTGTAGTAGGGGAGATGATGGTATAAAGCAGTGACACGCTCCAAGCACACTTGCCACCGCCTGCTACTGCACTGCTGCACTGTCAAGTTTGTCGAGGGGGCCCCGCAATGATAACTTGGATTTTCCTGCCCCCTCGCCCTATGCGCCGGAGGTTATCCTGACCCACCAGCAGCCCAAAGACGATGACATACAGCAGTAGTAACTTTGATTGTTATAAGTCAACGTCTTTGCAGTAGTTCACTGCAGATCTGATTTTGCAGATCGGGGATGCCATGGGCCGTTCCGGAGCTCTGTCAGTGCTTAAGCAGCTAAGAGTATGGACGCTGGTGGTGTTGGCGCTTCTTTTTCGTGACAGTCAGGCAAGACATGTTCGGAGACGTGTTTCATTCCACGAAGGCTAATGACTGATGACGCTCTCTCTCCATTGCGGTTTTTGTAGACTCTGTACATGCCGCACCCCCGAGCACACAAGTGCGCAGTCAACGGTGTGCGCAGTTACGCGTACTTGTCGTTCGCGGTGAAACTAATCTGCTGCCGTGCATTCTACAGTTTATGCCATCCAGTGCTCGTTAGGATGATCGCTAGTCAACATGTAGACATGGTCGTGAAAGCATTAACAGCCCGCGTGGTGTTGCGTAACATGACCACAGCAATACTTGCCGCGGTTGAGTGCAGCACTTTTGCGCCCTCTCAAGACCAGAGGCCGGAGGCGCTGCTTTACCCCAGACAGGGAAGAATTCGGTACAAAGAATGGGGCAACTCCCGCTCTGACAGAACAGCAAACACATGAGATCCGTCTGCTTTGACAACCTTCCTCCCTCTAAAGAAAAACTGTGAATGTAGCACGGATGCGGGAAACGGGAAGTTGAAGATACAAACAGCAGTCGTGGTTCCATAATAAGAGAGTACCGAGTAAGAGGGGGTTCCGTTATAAGAGGGTCAAAATGTGTTGGCACGGGCGCGACCCGCTATAAGAGGGTTATCCTCAGAGAGATCGGCCCCTTTATAGTGGGCTGACCCCACTGAGCCACTACTGCGAGCGAGAGGGCATCCTTCCGGAGGAGCAGAGCGGTTTCCGCCCACACCGGTCGACGCTCGACATGTTGTTCGCCATCCAGCGGCTCCATGAGCTCGCCAGGAAGAAGAGTACTGCGGTGTTCGCGTGCTTCGTCGACCTCACCAAGGCATACGATTCGGTGGACCGAGACCTACTGTGGGACGTGCTCCGATGCTTCGGCGTGCCCCCGAAGATGCTGGCGGTCATTCGCCACTTCCACGAGGGCATGAGGGCGCGCGTTCGAACGGACGACGGGCAGTACTCGGAATGGTTCGACGTGGGCCAAGGCCTCCGACAGGGATGCAACCTGGCCCCGCTGCTGTTCAACTTGTTCTTTGCCGCGATGCTCATGGTCGCCGTGGCCGAGTTCGACAAGGACCCCAAGGTGACGGCGGACATGGTCAAGATCGGG